CTCTATCGACCGCTCACGGGGAACTGCGATGACATCTCGAGTTAGACGACTCTGGTCTCGCAAGACCATCATGTTCGTGGACGAAGTAAGCATGATGGATCTGACCATGATCAAAGTCATCGATAATCACTGCAAGATCGCCAAATCCCTCGATAGATCCTCCACTGATCTTTTCGGTGGGCTTCCTGTCGTCATCTTCATCGGTGACTTTTTCCAGTTTCCACCTGTTCGGGGACCGGCCCTATGGAAGGAGCCTAGAAGGGGTAGAGATGAGGATGAGAACGGTCGGCTCCTCTGGCATCAGTTCAAACAGGTAATCATCTTGGATGAGCAAATGAGACAATCAGAAGATGCTCCGTTTCGTGATCTCCTTTCACGAGCGAGGACAGGAACTTTGACAGAAGCCGATCGAGCCTTTCTTAACAGCAAAACTATCACGTCCCTGGTCAGCCCGCTGTTGGAAGACGCCACCACTGTCGTGAAGTTAAACTCTCTGCGTCACCAGGTAAACCGCGTTCGAATTGAGCAATTCGCGCGGACCCGGTGTCAGAATGTATATGTCTTTCCTGCGCTTCATACGCGGACCAGGTCTACTGGTCCTATCAACCTGCGGCTTCGTGCAGACGACTTGCTCCAGCAACCGGACCAAGGAACCAAAATCCCTTTTCCCGGACTCTTTCTCTACACCCCAAATATGCCTGCCGTTGTACTGACCAACATCTGCACCCTGCTCGGCCTGGTTAATGGCGCAGCGGGGACTGCTGTAGGAGTCGTGTTAGATCCGGCCGGTATGTTGATCTTTCGTAAACAGTGATGAAACCATCCTCTTGACACCTCCCCACTAGCTGAATTCTTTGAAATCGACGACCTCTATATCATGTGCACCAAGCCACCTGCCTGCATTTTATTCAAACCAGACAGACCAAGACCCACTGCATTTCAAGACCTTGAACCTTCCATCGTGCCAGTCTTTCCATTAGAGCGATCTATCACTATGAAGGGCTATTCGGTCCGAAGAAAGCAGGTTCCCATGTGCCCAGCGTTCTGCCTCACCGACTACAAAGTTCAAGGCTCGACTCTTGCAGCTGCGATCCTAGACCTTAAAGATGACCCCACCATCCGGGGGCAAGATCGCCATCGGAAGTATTGCTCGCTATATGTGCAGCTATCCCGGCTTCGATCCTCCAAAGGACTTCATCTTCTGCAGAAACTCGAAATAGAAGACCTTCGATTCGGACCCGATCCTCGGCTGTTGACTGAAATGCAAAGACTTCAAGAGCTCGAGAAGGAAACGATTGCTGCATGGCAGGGAAATTGAAACATACAAGCAACTCTTCACTAAAGGGTCCTTTTGCAGATATATTCTATTCTGCATCGATACTCATCCAATCACACGTTACGCCACAGGACAACGTGAGGTGGCTTGCGTACAATTAGCGTATCCTAGCGAACGTTCGTGTAACTTTCCGGCACCTTACCAAATCCAAACTTTCAATGTTCATGACATCTGTAAATTCTTCCTCATTTCCCCCCGGTTTCGTTTCAGGGCCACAGCGTGCGGTAGCGCGCGTCACCAGTATTCAGTTCCTGATCTGTGATGATGTGCAAAAATGAGATTGGTCAACACAGCAGTGTGTAACTGGATGATTTTTATTTTTATCCCACCGCCCGGTCAATTGCTACCCTGGACAGCCGGTGTAAAAGATACGTAGAATTGAGTTCAGGAATGGATCCACTCCCCCACTCGTCATCCGCCGATCGTTTTAAACACCTCTCATGAATTGGCCTTTGGGGAATACTAATCATGGACAAATCAACGATATGTTAGCTTCGCACAAATTTGAAGTGGCAAAGCATGCGATGGTGCCGTGCACATTTTGACCAATTTATTATATTGTGTTGTTTCGAGATTAATAATGCGTGGGATTAAATTAACCATGAGCGGTTTCTTGTCCTAAATAATATATGCACGCTGATTGATTGTATGCCCTCATACATCCTTGGGCATCAATCAATACACGGCCAAAGCCATCTACCCACTTCATCACTTTACACGGGCAGGGCGTATCTAGTGTCGGACAGGTGGTTTATCTAGCTATTCAAATGCGTCCCTAAAAAAGGCCAAAGGTTTCTGCCATTTGGGACAAGGAAAATTCTCCCTGAACTTTGCAAATGCTGGTTCAAAATGGTTTCTGGTAGCTTGCGTCATTGAAAGATCTCGCAATGCGTTAAGTCTGCCACAAGCCCACATAAAGTTTTGATGCTCATCCTGATGCAAGACGATGGGGTGGGGTCCACCGCGAGAAGACTTCTTGACCTCAACTAGGAAATGAATTTGTTCAATCCATATCTCGCTTTTTGGTGTTTCAAACACGTCGTTCACGCCCACTTGATCATATATGCAAGTAATTATCAGGCCGGTCTCCTCGAAGAATTCCCGAATCAAAGCTTCTAATATATTTTCTCCGGGATCAACTTTCCCCCCATGCCTCGTACATATTTGGCGAAGAGTCATGCTTAGCACGCTGTCCCAGGGATGCCCGTATTTCGCCCCCCTGCCATCTGCAGAGCCAACCTCTCACGCTGATTCCAGATACTTTGCAAATATTTTCCAGGGGGTCACACTCCTCTTTCCGCTTCTCTAGGTATTCTTCCCATGGGGCGTAGAATTGTCGGAGGCTCTCTGCAACACGGTAGATGCCGAATTTGGTTTTTATGAGAAAAAGCCCGTTGTTCATCTTTCTTGATCACAATGGTAATGAATTGGGTCACTAAATAATAAGAGTTAGAAGTTCCTGCGAATCAAACTCGTGGTAAGACAAGATATCGAACCTTGAGAAAATGGCAGATGCCAAAGTAATCAGTGCAATAGACCCAGAAATGAAACTGACACGAAGTTCCGTTCCTGTCCATTTAAGCCTTTGGTTCAAGAACACCGTAGTGTGGGCCAGAAAAATCACATAAGCAGATGATATGACTCACGGTCTAAAACAGACACTAGCACACCGTCTGATATGACGCCTACCCTGTATACACGCCAAGGGTGAGCTGATTGAATCTCACTGTATCAAAGCCACAGTTGCCAGACTAATAATGTGATTGCTTCGTTTCTACGCGCAGCGGAGGTTATCCGGAGCGACTCGAGTCTCCTGCTTACTTCGGACATCGTGACTGCAGTGATGAGTGCACGGTTCACTTTAATTAGGCTTGGTGATTGAATAGGCAGCGGCCTATTAGTGACTAGTAGCTCTAGCTATAGGCGTTGTTATCACTGCTGCTGCGGGTTGGATCACATCCAAGGCTTGGGGACAAACAGAGAGATCTGGCTCAATGTGGATCCGTTCGCATCCTTCGAGTTGGTATACAGCACAGCTAAGATTCTGATCCTCGGACATTGGGCGCCACTGTGGATGACCGCTAGGCATTTACGGGCTTATATGTCACATCACGGGTTAAAGATAATTTTAGCACCTTTATTGGGCATCTGACCATCCACCTCAGGGCGGTTATGGTTCCACAAGATAGGAACGAGCGTCCTTAATCCCGGACTGTAAGAAACAGCAAATGGAGCTGTTGAGATTTCGCCCGTGAGGACCTAGCCAAATTTGGTGAACTGAAGGCACTAGCTTCCCAATCAGTAGGAACTCGATTCTTAGTCACTGTAGATCTATTTGTTTCCTGGTCAAAACGAGCTACTCTCACCGCATGGTGGCTGCACTAGAGTTGAGGTACGCGCGGAAATTGTGTGGGACAACTCGCCACTGAGAGTCTCTCTAGCCCACGGGCAGACCAGTCAACTTTGTTGCAGCGCATGTGACCAGAATTCCAGACCAGTGCGAGGAAAATGGCGCTCCAGGGCAATCAAATGGCTGAAAGCCTGGCTGTATGGGGCTCGATATCTCGACCAGTGCATCCAACTGACCACGCCAGCACCGACAAGCTGCGTAATACGGTTCGCAGGAACATCACCGCTTCACTGTGTCTAGGCAGCGATCAAGTCCGCCACGCGAGGCATGCTTGTGCACCCTAGTCTTTTGCGTCACAAGCAGGATAACGAGGTCCAACTTCTATGACCGGTCTATGCCCTAGAAATCAACATCTGAACCCGAGCCTGTATTCAAGCCCATAGCAAATGCCCAATTCGATTGATGATCGATAAACTTTTGCGTAGCCAAACATCAAATCTAATTAGTCCTTACATCCTAAGGTGGAATTAGTGGCTAGGCCAAGAGGATACTCTCAGGATCGGCAGGGGACTAGCAAGGGATTCGGGCGGAAGAAAAAGTGTACTAGTCGTGGACCTTTGCATAATATCGGTTGCTAGGTATGGTATTGCCCGACGTATCTTTTCTGAAATAACCACTTATTCCGTATCACCCTCTACGGTATGCTTCGAACTCGAACTTGCTTGAGCTCGTCGCTCCCAGGAATCAATGACAGGTAAGCAAATCATAACCTCAATTGATACTCCAGGCCAATGTGTTACTAGTAGGCATTTACAAGACCATTGAATATGTTTGTTATGGTTCGCCTTCAGTCTCATTCGCCAGATCATAGCGCGTAGCGTGCTTAGTTAGTTCCGTTGCAGGACAAGGGGCTAGGCATAAGACGGCCAAATTGTCGATGTCCAGTGATCGGATCTCAACACAGCCCTTTAGCGTCCTGTTCCTGGAAGCCGACTGGGTCAGCCAGACGTCAGATTTTGGTGCTTTTAACTCAGGAGCAGTGCTATAATTGGCTTGCTGCTTCCCGACCAATACAACGGCTCCAAACCGATCAGACCCATGATTCCGAGCATGTCCAGGACGGGCCATCCGACTCCAAATTTAAGTGATAGGCCAAACACATGGTCTTTGGAGATCCAAGAACGAGGAAATAGTTCGTTCTTAAAGTGTTTCACCTGCTTCTTTCTCCGAATCACGTCCGTCACCTCTAATGCCTAATAAAAAATTGCCAAGCTTCTCATTTTTGCAGTCCTTGTTTGTGTCTTTTCTGTCAGTATGGCCATAGTGTCATCTCGTCGGAACTCATCTCCAGAAGTATCTCTGATCTTCAGAGACTATTCCATTCCAATGAATCAGATGAAAGGGCCTTACGCTTTGTCAAGGACACCCAATGATCTACGACTCCCCTGGCTTATGCGGGCGCTTTGCTATACCCGAGAAGAAGCCTCCAAGAACGTCGACCGATTTCATATCTCGAATATCGAGCAGTTGGGTTCACTCAGCGGCATAATCGCGGGTGGTCGCATTAACCAGCCTCTGAAAATGATCGGTAAGAATATCGAACATGGTACCACCTTGATGGTGTCTTGACATTGGGTTGAAAACTGCGATGGTGAGTTCTATATCGAACAACTGGACAGTCCTTGAACTTTTTTCTAATATATAAGAACAGGAAGCTGCTCGTTTGAAAATGACACCCCTCACGGAGAAGGCAAAGCGCTTCTTAAACAAAAGGAAATGTACACAGTCGAATGAATTGATTCTAGCTTCCTCATAAGTATTAGCTCACAGCTGCGACCGTTTCTTTTTAAACAGAGCCCCCAAGGATCTCCAACCCGCAGGCAGTACTATGCACTTGGCTTGGCGGTTTAGATCCCGGTCCCGCACATTTGTAGACTTGTCTCCCCTCAATATCCGGCGTGGCTCGATATACACTGCGTTGAATATACATGGTCTATCTTCGCATTAAAAGGCGGAACTGGGGTGGGTGGGCTGGGGCTGGGAATGATTGATTATTAGTGGCTCTTCAGTGGAATTGGGTCTATGATGCTCAAGCTTCGAGATTTCGGAACGGTACGTCCCACAGCTGCCAGAATATACTACTAGGAATGAAACTTGTGAGATCGTAGTGATTAGCAATCCGTCTCAGGAATCGTGGGACCGATCTATCGAACAATAAGTTAACGAACCCGCCAAAGTGCAAGACCGTCTGATATTTGAACTAATTCCTTGCTCACATACTCGCTTGCACAGAATTTATTGCACAGGGCCAAAGCTGTACCGTGGTAACAATTTCCCGGATCAATTGAGGTCGGTGTTTGTCGAGAGCAACTGGAATCGAAGTTTTACCCCTGTTCGCATTGTACGCACGCTTTTTTTGGAAATTAATCAGAGGCCGTATAGAGGAAGGTGACAGGACGAGCTTGGATTGGCTCATTTCTACTGTCGTCAGAAATTTTTCGGCAACCCAGAAATAAGTCACCTACTAAATGCGGAGGGTTTATTGGGCACCTCTCGAGGGACACAATAGCCTTGTGGGTGTGAATGCGGGATAAACCCTCAATATTTGCCTTATAAGTTGCATCTATTCCATGAAGCTATCGCGCAATGCAGAAAGAGAGAGCTTGTACGAAGACTGGAACTATAGTATCAATGCGTGACACTTGTAAGCATCTTACTTTTCGAATGCTGTACATGAAATTGTTTCCGTCCCCTATTATATATAATTCCTCAATATAATACCTATTCCGATCATCGCCCAGCTATTCCAATTACCCTACTTCAAAGAAAAAGAAATCCAACTAGCACTGTGAGATTCAAGTCGGCTTGCTTTCACAGAGCCAAAGTTGAATTGTCCAGGGTGGTACTTAGGATCGTGCTGCTCAGGAAGTACGATACTTCGTCTCCTGACTTTGAACGCCATGGTCTTGATAGATCCCTTGGAGCAAGCAGATTCTCTTCGGAATTGGTGCTCTAAATTCTCCATTTCGCCCGCACGTTGCGGAAGTAAACTCAAAGTCAGGATTTCCGGACCGCGCTCTCTTCTGGCTTAGTCCATTTGAGTCGGGTGGATAGTGCGGTGAGTTTGAATGGCGAGAGCTCTGGCTGGTGGACGACTGCTGGTGTGGCCCAGGAAGCTGTGGTGGCGCTTTAAAACTGCTAGTGACAAGTAATGCACCACCAGGCTGATCAAACGGTGGATCATGGTGGCGGCCAGATGACAATACCCCGTCCCCGCTAAAATGTCCACTGGGAACCGCAAAATTAGCATTGAGAACTGAGCTAGTTGTGAGTAGTCCAAACTTCGACCACTCCTGGCGAGCAAATATGGCAATTGAAGGAAGAGGGTATAGGAACAGCTTACTCGTCATATACCGGTAGCAGACCCGAGTCAAGTCCAGTCGAGCACACCGATGCCACCACCCGACCGGAATCCGATCCCCGGCTCGGGTACCGTCCCACTGGCCTTGGGGCAGAATGCGGTCCTTGGGCTCCATAATATCCAGCCGGGTCTATTCCTGAATGCCTCCACTGGGGCGTTACACTGGGAGATATGGAATGATTCCTCGAACCCTCATGGCGGTAACGAAGCTCTCTGACGTCCATATAAACTCCCATGTGCGTTATGGGGTACTTTGTCGGTTCCATGGGTCTCCTCATAAGAATAATCACCATGGAAGTTGTTTCGGAATCATCTGGACGAGGGTTTCGAGTCACCTTTGCATAAGAATTTTCGTTAGCATAGACGTAGCTCCATACCATCCCGGGACATTCTGCTCGTCGGTCTTGGACGAGCCGGTCGACTTGAGCACGCTGGTTGGGGCTCAGTTTTTGGTACTGCCATTCAACCTCAAATTCTTCTGCACGCGAATGGGTCAGGTTGCAGAGCTGTTCTTGTTTCATATATAGCTCGGTTCGCTCTGCGCATGCCCAGGTTGCCTCTTTTCCTGCTCTGTAGAATTTGTATGCTTCAAAAAAGGGCCCGCTTGATGGAGAAAGATAGCTTTGCTGGGGGAAGTTCGCGGTGGCTCGTAGGGGGCGGTAGCAGTGGAGCGTGTTTCTTGACTGCGGCATGATTCGAGATCATCGGAATTGGCTGACATTTGGTTGGGCTGAGATTGATTGAACGAAACCCTTTATAAATAACTTGGAACTCGCTGAGACCGGAAGCAGGTTATATACCGCTGCTGTAGTTGAATAGTTCCCGTGGATGCGCCACCACTTCCCGGGTGTCAGAAATGCGTCTAGGCAACGATTGAGTCAGCCGCAGGAGTATACCTGTTCACCCTAGTCATTTGCGTCACAAGCGAGATAACGGAGTAGAATTTCCACTTTGGCCGGGATGCTTTTCCTAGGAATTGACATCTGGACTCAAGCCCGTATCCTAGCCCATGTCGTATAATCCTATAGCAAAAGATTATTCCAACTGCTGAGCTGTTACGGACATACAAGGCACCAACCGATTATGGGGCCGCAACTTACGGATGGGCCACCGAAAGCAAACCAATCTATCTAGACCTCGCCAAACGCGGGTTTGGGGCGGGTTGTCGCTTTCTCCTACCCGCCCACGGGTAACCCGCGCGGGTTTTGGCCTTCATGAACCCGCCCGTGGGTTCTTGGCGGGTACCCGTGGGTTACCCATATAACCCACCAAAATGCATAATAAGTGAACAAAAGTGTATTAGTCAGTAGTGGTAATATTGGTAATTTAATTTTGTCACAACTTTATATGGGAGATACCGTCTCATGAAATGTCTCACCACCTCAATAATATATATATTATATATGTACAGGCAATTGTCCAGCCAGAGCGCGCTCTCCGAACACTTTTGCATCCCAGCGTTGGCACTAAGAACATCCATCGACCCTTATTGATATCAAGCCTCTCGAGGACACTTTAAGCTATAATATCCAGAAAAATGATTGACCAGCCAGTGAAGAAGCATCCTCGCCATCGTTTTACTGTCGCACGAGTTTTGGGTACCCGTGGGTTTAGGGTACCCGCGGGTTGACGCGACCCACTATCTCATACAAAAAACCACCGCGACGCGTTGGGAAAAAAAATCACTCTGATCCCACGAAAATTCCAATTCTTGGAACTCCAACGAGCTTGAGCTATGAGCATCGAATCTCCAAAAGCCATGTCCTCGCGGTCAATTCATCGGTCTTTGAGCCCCTTGCTCTCCATTGAGCCATCATCAGATGTTTCCATGGACTCGGACTTCCAGTCCTCGGTACGATACTCTCAAAATCGCAGATTAATTCAACAACTCAGAGACGCAAGCACATACTAACCAGTTAGCCTTTCACTGGCTCCCGACGTAGCGTCGATAGTCCCGCTCAACAACCTCCAACGATACTTCGACGCGTCGGACCGGACCGCAGAAAGAACTGGATATTGTACGAGCCTGAACATTCCAGCAGTTTTTTGACTTGGTGGCAAAAAACAGAATATGGTCAAGTGCTGAATGGCGACGGACGGTCTAAAATAAAGTGGTCGATGGAGTCACATTACGCTGAAGTTTGGAAGCATTTCGACCAAGTTGCGGGCATTGAAACTGGCATTCCCAAAGTGATCTGTAGGGCTTGCTTGACCCTACTTGATCATCCACAGCACAAAAAGCACGGCACAAGCGCAATGGGAAAGCACCAGAGATCCAAGTCCTGTCGAAAGGGCCAGAAAAGAACATGCCATCAAGCTCTCGTGTCAAACTCAATCCAGAAAGCCTTCTTGGGAGTACCATCCGGTCCGAACAAGTTCACCACATCGCAGTTCGAGGAGCGGCTGCTGAGGACCATTGCTTGTCTTCGTCTGCCCTTCCAGACCGTTGAAAACCCTGAATTTCAAGCACTCCTCAAGTTCATCCACCTCGGACCGGGAGAGCTAGAAATGCCTTCAGCAAAAACCTTGCGACGACGCCTGCGTGACGCTGTAAGAGGACAACAGGAATCACAGTTGCGAGATCTACCCGAAGACGCCAAAGTTTCACTTGCATTAGATTGTTGGACTAGTCCCTTCCAGCAAGCATTCATGGCAATTACAGTCTACTTCATCGATAGAGATTGGAACTACCGCGAGCTGCTTCTTGGGTTTGAGCCTTTGCATGGACCTCACACAGGAGTCAATTTGAGCGACGTGCTCCTCCAGCTGCTCAGAGAAAGACAGCTATTGGGTCGTATCTTCAGCGTTACCACGGATAATGCAACAAATAATGAAACCCTCATCCGAGCGCTGCAAGAATCACTCATTTCTAGTGGCGCCATCGGCTCGAGAGAATCCATTGTCCGTGTTCCATGCATGGCCCATGTGATTCAGCTTTGCCTCAAGCAGCTGTTGGGGCATATCAGAGCTGCTCCCAAGAATAAAGAAGTGAGAAGTTTTTGGTCCAATTCACAAGCTCTTTGTCTCAGGGACTCAGTGGACCATGGTGAGGTGGCGCATACTCTAGCAAAGGCGAGTCCGTTGATTTCGGACCCGTCATATTTGGACATTGCTGACGGTGCCTCTTCCACAGATTCGGTCCTTTGCAGTTTTTGTCAACGCCAGCCCCCAGCGGCGAGATGCATTCCTGTGCCTCCAATCTGGTGGAATGCGACTTTTCCCGTTGCATGATGTTCAGACCCGCTGGAATTCCACCTTCTTGATGCTTCGACGAGCGCGCCGACTAAGGAATACCATCGACAAATACTGCCGAGACCATGACTATTCACAATTTAAAATCACTGACATTGAATGGCGGCAAATTGACTATCTT